GAGAGTGGCCCAGTGCCTGAGAGTGGCCCAGTGCCTGAGAGTGGCCCAGTGCCTGAGAGTGGCCCAGTGCCTGAGAGTGGCCCAGTGCCTGAGAGTGGCCCAGTGCCTGAGAGTGGCCCAGTGCCTGAGAGTGGCCCAGTGCCTGAGAGTGGCCCAGTGCCTAAGAGTGGCCTACGTCCTCGCACTCCTGAGCGCAAATCGACTCTTTACGGAGTTTTGTTATTATCAAGTAAACTAATAAATACTTATAGTAGACGTTTCCCGTGAATTTCACATGAATCTTATTTGTAATTCAGTGGTAGAAAATTAGGCCTACAAGCAAATGACCAAGGTTCACTCCGTGGTAGAGCAGCGATGATTGGCCAAGGAATCTTGCACCTATTCACTTAGCGGTAAATAGGCACCTAGAAATCAGTCAACTTTTGTGGAATCATATATACAGGATAATGACGTAATGACTGCAAAGAATATAGACCACACTCAGCGGCTTTCTTCTTTCTTGGTTTATACTACATAAGTTTTTCCTAAGAAAATCTGTGTGTGTGTGTGTGTGTGTACTCACCTAGTTGTACTCACTTAGTTGTACTCACCTAGTTGTGGTTGCAGGGGTCGGGTCACAGCTCGTGGCCCCGCTTCTTCACCGGTCGCTACTAGGTCACTTTTCCTGCTCCATGAGCTTCATCATACCTCTTCTTAAAGCTATGCATTGATCCTGCCTCCACTACATCACTTCCAAGACTATTCCACTTCCTGACAAGTCTGTGACTGAAGAAATACTTCCTAACATCCGTGTGATTCATCTGTGTCTTCAACTTCCAACTGTGAACCCTTGTTGCTGTGTCCCAGCTCTGGAACATCCTATCTCTCTCCACCTTGTTGATTCCTCTCAGTATTTCTTATGTCGTTATCATATCCCCCCTATCTCTCCTGTTTTCCAGTGTCGTCAGATCGATTTCCGCGCGCGCGCGCGCGCGCGTGTGTGTGTGTGTGTATGTGTGTGTGTGTGTGTGTGTGTGTGTGTGTGTGTGTGTGTGTGTGTGTGTCTGTGTGTGTGTCTGTGTGTGTGTGTATGTGTGTATGTGTGTATGTGTATGTGTGTGTGTGTGTGTGTGTGTGTGTGTGTGTGTGTGTGTGTGTGTGTGTGTGTGTGTGTGTGTGTGTGTGTGTGTGTGTGTGTGTGTGTGTGTGTGTGTGTGTGTGTGTGTGTGTGGTGTTTTCTTCAGTTGAAGGTTGTAGTAGGAGAGCACAAGCAAGTCTGAGTGAGGTAAGGACGACCAGAGCGATGCTTGAGTCACTAACCATAATTCCCCCACAGTCTCTTACATAAACCCTGTTTTACCTCTGTTGGACTGATAAAGCTCCCGGAGCGAGACGTCTCTTATATAAGTATCCATCTATTTTCATGTATTGCATATTTGTCATATTTACGTACTTGTCGCATTTTTATATCATCATGATATAAAAAGAACAGAATACGGTGAATGGAACAAATGAAAATGAAAACTGGGCGACCTTTTGTTAAATCTCAGACAATTGTAAAGTCAACGAGCTTGGAGAATAATGGGAGTCCACTAAGAAGACACAGAAAACAGCTATCAGAGGGCAAGCAAATCACACATTGGCTATCTGTTGAGAAGAACCGTTTACACTGAGAGGGACATTAGTAAAGCGGGACTCAGCGTCAAGACAAAGCATCTTACAGATTGGAAGAGAGCGAAGACGTTCGATGAAGTCTTGAGAATGGCGGAGGTAAGCAGGAGAAAGAGTACCAAGGGAGTGAGAGTTTTGGCCAGCCAAGAGGCAAGAGAATAAGAACCAGGACCTCTATAGAGTCTGTCTATATTATGAACTATGAACTGTATTATGGACAACTGAGGTGAATGCCAACAGAAAGGTCAATATTGTGGGAGATGATGAGACTGCTGAGGACAGGTTAAGTCGTGTGTGTTCTGAGGATTACTGCATATGACAATGTATTGGGCGGAACAAACAACAATAGATGTATGTCTCGGGCTAAGATTCATATTGGAGACGTTGTGTCTATTGTGTTGTTTCCTTCAAGGAGATAATGTCATGGTTGCTGGTAAGAGGTTCTTGATTCAAAGAGTTGAAGCTACAGTCGGCCTTCCTTAGATCGAATTTGATTATCTCCCATTGCCCAGGGTCGGCAGCATCCCTACAGATTTTGCGTTTCACAATTAATTTAATTGTAGTTACTTATTCTAATAATGAATATGATACATAGTGCCATTAATTATTATTATTATTATTATTATTATTATTATTATTATTATTATTATTATTATTATTATTATTATTATTATTATTATTATTATTATTATTATTATTATAATTATGATTGAAGAAAAATTTAGTTTGTAACTTGACTTAAATTAAAAATGTGGAAATATTTCTTAATTAGGTCTCATTATAATTACGGATCCTGCGTCTCGCAAATTTATTCTTGTATTCATCCATACATTCATGTATATATACATAC